GGTTGAGGGTTTAGGGTTTAGTTAAGCTAATATCCCTGCAATTGAATGGGGTTATTTTGTAAGGCCCGAGATTACAGACGACTTCTTCACACCTTTGCTTGGGGATGTCGTCGGGAACACCGAGGCCGTTAGGATCTCCTTGATCATGAGGGTTGAAAACACTGAAACGGGTTGATGACCTTGCATATATATATATATATTTACTTACTTATATTATGTATAGGGGCCTTAACAGGGGGGCTGAAGACTTCGAGAATGGTCTTGGTGTATGTTATATACAAAAAACACCTATACATAGATCAAGGAACCGTCAAGGGATAATGTTTGGTAATTTCCCGACTCCTATTTCCGCTTGCATTTCTCGCATCTAATACGTCATCCACGTGGATATATTAACTCCCAACCTTGTTCTTGTGAATGGGTTTGATGAAAGTTACAAGAACAAGGAAACCAATTTATTTACTATGGATCCCTAGTGTAACTTAGCTGAGTTGTAGTTTTGTGGCCCTGAAAACTATTCATGAATAGGTACTTCTACAGAAACCATGAAGGAAATTTCAAAGTTTACCACATTGCCACAAGGTTAAGTTAATTAACAAGAACCCAGCAACGGACTTTCAAAGCCCTAAGGGCGCGTGTATCGGGATTTCACCAGAAAGAGGTCCAGGCCGGTTGACAAAAGCGGTTCACTTTATGTCCGACAAATTCTAAAACCGTCCCTACATCCTAAACCCTAATTCCTAAACCCTGAACCCTAAACCTTAAACCCTAAACCCTGAACCCTAAACCCTGAACCCTAAACCTTGAACCCTATAACACTAAACCTTAAACCCTATAACACTAAACCTTTGAATCCTGGACTGTTTGAGTTGCTGTTGCACACTGCCCTCCACGAGCCCTCAGCCGTAGCGTGTTGGCCCACAACCCGAAACCTTATGCGACCAATCTCCAACCTTACCAATGGTGCTTTTCAAGGAATGAAACACTAACTTTCGGGGTTTAGGGTTTAGAGTTTAGGGTCTAGGGTTCATTAACTCAAACCCTAAATCACCCTATAAACCCTAAACCACAAAGAGCACAGAACGCCCTGTTGCCATGAAAGGTCATCCATCAGCAGAGATCGGCACGGAATAACTCCCGCAACGCTTCCTCGCAGTCACCACCGCCCCAAACCTGGTGCTTTCGGGGAACAATGTGTTAAGGTTTATACTGTAAGGGGTTATAGGGTTTGAGTTATAAACAGCGCTTTTCCACGGTACAGTTAAACTTCGATAACGAAAACAGCCACGTACACACATCACCAAACTTGCGCCAGAAACAATGGCGGAGCCGTCCAGGAGGAATGCGACGAAGGCAGAAGCGGTAGCACACAGTTCTTGCACATCCTTCAGCTGACCTTGCACTGCACTGCTGTCGCCCCCACCATCAGCGTGGCCCCAGGTGACGACAGAGCCATTCCCCAGAAGCGCCGCAAAGGCAGTGCGCGTGGCGTGGAGCTCCTTCACGTCTTGAAGCTGCGTTTGTACAGCAGTGCTATCCCCGCCAGAGCGAAATTGGCCCCAAGACACAACCGATCCATCGGAGAGGATAGCAGCAAATGCCTCGTCGGAAGCCTGGACTTGCTTCACGCCTCTCAACTCCTTTGCAAAGAGGCTGTCCCTGAGGCTGGAGAAGTCTCCCCAACTCGCCAGGGATCCGTCGGAACGAACTGCGATGAAAGCCATCGCTGATGAATGCACATGGCAAACGTCCTGGAGCTTTTCGGCGAACTTGCCTCGGTTGCCCAGCAGCCCCTGATTAACTCGTCTTGTTGAACTGAGTTGAAGAAACACCAAAATAAAAGGGATACGCGACGCCCTACTTCGGGATCTAGTGGCTATCACCACCGTAGTCAGGCCAGCCCCAGGCCACGACAGAGCCATCACTACGAAGTGCAGCAAAAGCCGCGACAGTAGCGCTGAGCTCTTGCACACCTGTCAGCCGGTCTTGCACATAGCTGCAGTCTCCACCTTCTGTGGGGCATAGGGCTTCGGATTTAGGGTTTGAGGTTTTAGGATCTATAGGGCCTGGGGGAGTCTAGGGGTATTAAGGGCTTTGGGTTTGTTTAGGGCCATATTGACTGCGGGTTTAGTCCACCTTCTTCATGCCCGCCCCATGTCAACACAGAGCCATCGCTCAAGAGAGCGGCAAAGGCCTGCTCTGTTGCCTGCAGCTGCTGCACATTGTGGAGCTGCTCTGCCACAGAGCTGCAATCACCGCCTGACCCCGGATCACCCCATGTAACGACAGACCCATCGCTGCGGCGAGCAGCAAAGGCACCGAAATTCGTGGCTTGGAGTTCTTGTACATCCTTCAGCTGAGCTTGGACATCAGTGCTGGAACCACCGTGGTTTGGAAGGCCCCAAGTAACAACAGACCCGTCCCCCCGAAGTGCGGCAAAGGCCCCATCGGTGGCTTTGATCTGCTTTACATCCTGTAGCTGCTCTTGCACCCCTTGGCTGTCTCCCCCGAGCCAGGGGGTACCACACGTCACAACACTTCCATCACCCAGGATTAGAGCAAAGGCCCGTCTTTCAGTTGATCGAACTTCAGCAAGTTGCACTTGTGTTCTGTGCCATGACAGCACATCGCCAGTTTGCAGACCTGCCTCCGTAACAGTCCCCGCGCCAGCGAGTGTTCTGCCACTAGGAGAAAGTAGCCTCCCTCTGCCCACCGCCAGGGCTTCTCGCACTTGAGCTCGCAAGTCATCCAGAGAAGCATCGGGGTGAACCGCAAGGGTCGTGCTCTTGCCGCTTAATAAGGACACTTCCACCTGTATCATGCGCCGGACAAGCTACCGAGAGATTCCAAAATCTCTGAATGACGACTGTCTCTGAAACCACCGTTACAGTACATGTCTGAAAGAAGGGATCTTAACTATCAGGACCCTTAACCCTAACCCCCTAACCCCTAACCCTAAACCCTAAACCCTAGACCCTAAACCCTGAGCCCTAGACCCTTCTGGAATGTCTGCTTATCATCAACTCCAGTCTAGCCCGCCCCAATCCTGGCCCCTAGGCCCACAGAGCCCGCTGGTGTCACAGGATCTAAGGCCTTGAAACAGAGTGAAACCCCCCAAACAGAATCCTAATACATACACCCCAAACCCCCAAAACCGTAAATCCCCAAACCCAAAACCCTAAATCCCTAAACCCTACAGTGGAGCCCCACGGGGACCCTTACACAAACATCAGCCGCATCCACGAGATCTGAACCAGACGGCTGAGGCGTTTGGTGGGCCTCCGGGTCCGAGATCTGCGGTTCTCTAAGGTCCTTTAAGGGATCTTTTAGGGTTTAGGGTTTAGGGTTTAGGGTTTAGGGTTTTAGGGTTTCAGGGTTGAGGGGTTTAGGGTCTAGGGTTTAGGGTTTTAGGGTTGAGAAGTTTAGGGTTTAGGGTTGAGGGATCTGCAAAGGGTTCTTTTACCCTAAGGCTCAGAATAGCCAAAACCATGCACAGGATGGACTTTGGGCCCAAAAGCCTTAGAGTATGAGTCCTTAGAGCCTATAAGGGTTAGGTGTGCTCGAAGAAGGTGCTTTAAGGGTTCAGGGTTTAAGCTTTAGGGGTTGTATAAGCCTGCGGGGTCCAGGATTTAAGCTTTATAGGGTATACTGGGGTTTAGGGTTTTGAGGTGCTTCAAGCTTCTCTTGAGCTACCTACTAGAACTGCTCCCCAAAATAGCCGACAATACTTAGATCAAGACTCTGCAAACACAACGCCTAAGACTCTATGGCTCTATAAGACACCAAATCCCCATAGCACCCTTCAAGGACGGCCCTACAGCTAAAACTGACATCCTCCATCTCAGCAGGTTCAGTTTTCACATCTGAGGTTCTCTTTTGGGGTCTAGGGTTTAGGGTTATCTGTGGTGCACTTGTCTTCATAGCTGGCTCTAGCCAAGTTTGCTTATGGGTTTATAAAGCTACAGACAAGGTTCGAACAGGACAACAGACTTGACTACAGTCACTTCAAACACCACCGCCCCCAGTGACTTCAGGTAGCTATGTAAATCGACCCCGGAATCCCTGAACCCTAATATAAACCCTAAACCCCAAACTCTAAAGGTTTAGGGTTTAGGAATTAGGGTTTATAAGCCCTACATAATAAGCACAGCAGCAAGGACCGTTCCCACTGCTCCTCACCACTGGAGGCTCCGATTGCCATGCTGTAGCAGATAACATCTGGAGATACCCGTGCAGTGGGCATCGAATTCCTCTTGGTTTAGGGTTTAGGGTTTAGGGTGCATTGGGCATCGAATTCCTCTTGGTTTAGGGTTTAGGGTTTGGGGTGCATTGGGCATCGAATTCCTCTTGGTTTAGGGTTTTTAACTTTTGGGTTCAGGGTGCTCGGGTTTGAGGGCTGGCGTTTTAGTGGTTTAGGATTTGGAGTCAGGTTCTGCCCAGGAGCTTGAACTTCTGAAACCAGAAACCAACAACCTGAACCCTAAACCGCAAACCCAAAACCCTAAACCCTCATCATTAAGAAGCTGCGGTAATTACCCGAAGTCAGCAGAGGGACAGGGTGTTGACTGGAGAAGTAAGACTTACGGGGTTTAGGGGCTTCGTTTTCGGGGGCATTTAGGGCTTGGGGCATTTAGGGCTTAGGGTTCATAAGTTTAGGGTTGAGGAGCTACTTTTTTAGGGGTTGTAGGGTTCAGGATAGGTTGGGGTATTCGAATGTAGGGGCCTTAGTACTTAGAACAGGG